GACAAACTTTGCGCGTTGTGATTGGCCAATGCATTGCAAACTTTTGGTGGCGCACTATTGCGAATCGCCCGTATTTCAGATGGAATATCTGCTGACCCCAACTGTTTTGTGTCGTCTTTTCTGTCTTCAGCCAATCCCTGCTTGTCTCAACCTTGCATGAATGGCGGAGCGTGTGTACCAGAGTCAGTCACCGCGTACCGCTGCATTTGTCCCTTGTGCTTCACGGGCACCTTGTGTGAAAGCTGTGAGTCCCTTGCAAGCTCGGTCCGATGTTATAACTTGTCCTCCTCTGCTTGGGACCCGAACAGTTACCAAACATTATTTTGAATTGGAACAAATGGATTTGAGACGGAGTGGCACACCTTGATAGGAGTTCATTTTTTACAGTACCGATATTGGCCATTGCCATCGGTGGTAAGAGTTTTGTGACTGCACTGTGTGTAATGCACGCAGCGCTTGGAATTGCCCTTGGCTGTATATGACAAGAAGCGTGATTATCACATCTTTTGGGGGAGTGATTTGTCAGGAAGAATTCATGTCAATAATTGAATTCAGACAGTGCCATCTCCACCAACTGGTGTAATTCACAAACACAGATGTTACATATACACCAGCTAGGAAGAGGAAAAACACTTCAGAGAAGATTTTACTGTTTTACATTACTCACTGTTGCATTAGATTTGAGCCAGCCACCCAATCTTTGCAAATTCCCTGCTTGAGTGGTTAAGAAATTCGTAAGCAGAAAGCCGTGATTTTGAATTCTGCCCAAGCAAGCTCATGATCCTTTCACAACTTACAGGCCATGCTGAGAATATATTGGGAATATGTATTTATGTTGGCGTAGGGGCAAAAGCTGGATTAAAATGATGGTTTTTTGTTTGAAACAGCTATCAGCGCTTGCCAGTTCAACAACTGTCAAAATGGTGGCACGTGCACCCCTTTCCCCGGTTCCTGTACTCTTTATGAATGCCAGTGCACCAACTGCTTCTCGGGACAATTCTGCCAAACCCGTGAGTATATTCTTTGTCACTGTCCATGTCATTGCTGCTAAGATGCTTTCCAAATCTGCAAAAAATCGATAGCATCAAAATATCCCTTGTTTTTGTTCGGATAACTAAGATTCTGCTTGTTGATATGTCACACCTTTAACAAAAGTCTCAATCGTATCAGACAGCTTACATTTCTCTTTGTTTGGTTATTTGGTTCAGGGTTAATTTGCGTTTCATTTGAAAAACTTTCCCATATCGTTTAAACGTTTAAATGTGTAAATGTCCCACCCTTAATGAAAACATTAAACACAGCATAATTGTATACAACGTACATAGTTGATAGAAAGTTTCAGTGATGAATTCATAGGTGTGCCCTTGATATGACTGATCAGTATAGTATTCTGAAAATCAGATTACATTTGACAGGCATCGTTTACAACAAAAATGAAGGCCAAATATCATCAATCAAGATGTCAAACCTTAAAAGGGGCAGTTTTGTCTATATGTTTGGGAAAAGCTACAAACAGATTTTGAACTTTTTTCGTTTAAATGTGTAAACGTCCCACCCTCATTGGTTATTGAACTAACAGGTGTTGACAGCTGTGAGAATAACCAGTGTTCAAATGGGGCCACCTGCATGTCCAGAGTGGACAACTGTTTGGAATACACTTGCTATTGCCCGCCGTGTTTCACTGGGCAGTTCTGTCGCATACGTAAGTAGCGATTACTTTGATTGGATGTCTTCCCTGAGAAGGTTAGAACAATAAAACGCTCTGAAAACACTTTGAATTTTTCTGCCACGGATGTGTAATTTGGTACGAGGAGAATATTAATATGCGGTGCTCACATCGAAACAAATATAGAGAGACAAATTGAAGACACATTTTTTGGCACAAGATTCAGTTCAGATATTTCTTTAATCCTTAAAACCTTTGATTTCAATATAATTTCACGTACACCCTAGGGGTTAGGGTTAATCACCAGCACCGATTTATTAATGCAGTCAGTCTTTAACGTTATCTTGGTCCTTGAGTAAACATCAATCTGAGTAAAACAAGTAAATATATCTTTCAATTAACGTATAGGAGCAAATCTCCAGTGGAGGAATAAATTTCATTGTCCATTACTATTTCATAATTTTGTATTTAAGCCACTTCCACTTCCACTTCCTTGCCTTTCATGTGCAATAGCTGTTTCTCAGTGCGCCAACCACAATTGCCGAAATGGAGGGATGTGTGTACCTATTACGTCCAGCGTTACCTTTGCATGCTATGAATACAACTGCATCTGCTCAGGATGTTTCACCGGCCAGTTCTGTGAAGAGGGTAGGTTACTCGACAAGGTACCGTACAGTAAACAGCCACACACCAGTGTGATCGATCCACGGAGTCCAAACCTCAACAGAACTTGACCCCAAAAATCTCTCATACACAGCTTTCCCTTTCAGGCTTTTCTCGTGTTCCGATAGATTCAAAGATGCGACACGCATCCAACATTTGGCTTTCTGAAATTCCACCTGCAGTTCCACATGCGTATACCTAGCAGTTGTCAGGTATACTTGTCCCACAGTTATGGATACTACCTGCCTGTCGAATGCTAACCACTATGGGGACTCGCAGTGCTGTGGAAACACCCAAAGCCCTCACAATCCAGTCCAGATTTAATTTTTTTCCATCACATGCAGCGCCGGCCAGGCTGCTCTACTGACTGGCAGAATCCTGCAGACACTTTTCACTGCACCGCATTCTTGTTCCACTTTTTGAAAGAAACGTCACTATTGAACTAAATTTGTTGATGCACGTGGTTTCTTTTGTATTCCCTTCCAGCACGCGATGCTTGCAACCCCAATCCATGCTTGAATGGTGCCACTTGTGCGACGTTACCAGACAACAACTGTTACTCCTACTCCTGTCAGTGCCAGGGCTGCTTCACCGGATTCAATTGCGAACGAGGTATAAAGTGCACAGAAATACAGGAAATAGCCATCTTTTGACTCCTTGAAAGAACTCTCTCATTTTAGGAAAAGGCTCATGCTAGTCTAAAGGACTTACAGCTGTGGCCTGGTTTATGGACTGATGAGGGGATTAATTTCATTTTGGATGGACCCTTGGGAGACTTGAAATGCTGCTTGCCCAGCTGCTAAGATTCTGGTGGAATTTCTTTGATTTCGACATTCTCACCACAATTAAGTGTTCAATAAAAATGCATATCTTTGCTTTTCTTTGATTACCTGAGACAGTAAATATTGTTTACTTCTAACAGAATATTTGAGCTGTTTCATTTAACAGTCAAACTTGAATCGTAACATTGTCAGTTCCAAGTTTAAGTTCAAAGGTTTCTAACACTGTTGTAACATTTCGCTTTCCAGCAATCCAGTCTCCATGTTCACAGAATCCCTGTCAGAATGGAGGAACCTGCAGCCCCGTCCAAGGAACTTGCTTAAGCTACACCTGTCAGTGTCCGAATACCCACACCGGCACGCACTGCGAAGTCAGTAAGTCACCAGAAATCAATCGATTAGTTGCTGAATAGAGCAATTAGAGGTGTTCAGGATGAGTGAGAAGGTTAGCCCTAAAAGATCTAGGTTATTCTGAACCATGTTTCAGGAGGAGGGGGGCTCTCGAGAAGTTTTTAAAGCTTGGCATACATGCGGAGACACTCTTCATCGGCACAAATGTGAACGTGAAGCTTAATCTGATATGATGGTTTCGTTATGGTCATTTGAATCTCTAGGCCTCTGGCCTGTGTGCATTGAACATAGTGGTGGAAAATTATACGCGTTTAGCTGACCCGTCTCTCAAAAATGGTGCTGTGTGAGAATGAAATGTTCAATTTTCACAAAAAGTGCCGTCAAAATGACCACAGAATTATTCTTAAACTCCTAAAGGCTCGGCTCATGAAAAAAAAAGCAATATCAGGAAAAAAATCTAAAATGTAATCAAGAACTTGTTTGTGAGATCATTCTTTCCGCGGGAGGTTTTTTTAAAAGGAGATTTTCCTTCTCCTGCAGCTATTAGCTGGACCCTGGTGAATTGTCCTGTCTAATCTGTTAATACTCCCTCCAAAACACCTGACGCAGATATGTCCTGACTGCGCGGAGTCGCAATCTTGAAGACCCGTTTTAACTCCTTTCAACTCACCCACGCCTTCCTGTGCAAATTCACCATGCCCTGTCACTGTGTAGTTACGTAGCATTACGTCGATTATTCGTTAAATGCTCTGGCAACTTTTGCCTGCTAAACAATCATAACGCAGGCCCCAAAAAATACTATTTTTCAGCCGAGAAGTTTAAATTCCGTCACACTTTTGCGAGGTGCATCTGGAGTGAAACACTGCTCTGCATTACTATTGGCATTCCTTGTTGTGAAAGCTTCCACCACCTGATCAATCCGAACTCATAAAATGAAGTGACGTATTTTCTCTGTCCATTTGTTGTCCAATAACCAGTCGTCACCGTGAACCCCAACCTGTGCAACAGCTTCCCATGCCAGAATGGCGGATCCTGCCTGACCATGGATGGCACCTACTACATCTGTGTCTGCCGGGATGGTTTCTTGGGACAGAACTGCCAGTCCACTTCCGGTAAATTGAGACTCAAGGTGTTAAGTTCATCCTCCCCGGATCTTTCAAAAAATCCTCCAGACTGTACATTGAGGAGTTGGCAGGATTGAGGAAGCCACGACCCCCTCCTGTTCATACCTTTTATGGGACTGGATACACCAAGTGCCATAGCTTTAGGTTTCCCCTTTGGTTAGTACTTCCTCGCATTCTTCAGGAGGCACCACTGGGAATTGGCATTGCCTTCACTGAGCCCGCCTTTCTCTTTGTAGGTTGTTTATCTTAGCTGGATACTGCATACAAGTGACCTCTGGACACAGAAAACAGTATCAGAATCCCACCAAATGTATACCTTCCAACCAACAGGCTTTCTGAGACTAGACTAAATTGGCCCAAGGAATCAAACCAACAAAGGTGGCTGAGTTCTGAGTTACCGCGGAATCTTTCTTTTTTATGGTCTCCAGCGAGCATACCACAGATTGACGGCTGTCGGACTTCATTGTGCGTCAATGGAGGAACCTGCCACAACAGCTACAACAGCAATTCAGGCGGCACTCCCCAAATCCAGTACACCTGTCTGTGCGCGCCGGGCTTCAGTGGCAACAACTGCAACGTTCTTCTCAGTGAGTAGCTTTCAAAGATCGTTTGGCCTCACCACTGCTGTCAAGCCTGGTGTGGTGCATACGATTCGCCAGTGTGCTTTGAACAAATGATTGTGTTTACTCAGTTTGGAATAAAATCAATACCAATGTGCGTTCATTCGATTGACTTTCAAAAACAGCGCACTAGCAAGCTGAAGGTCTCTAAGATCGTCTGTTCCACCCATTTTCATTCAGTCTGTGTTCGCATGGTAGCCAGTGCAGAACTTACTCGCAGGCACTTGTTGAAAAGTGTAGGCACAGCCAAGCCGCCTTTTTTCCCCTTGATTTTTTTTAACACTGTTCGTAAAGCAAGAACAGTACGCATCGTGCAGTGCAATGTATGGGTACAGATTTGGTCAGTGAATGCAGTGAAAATCCTTTTGTAAACAAGCGAGGAACGAGTGGTTTTGGTGGTGAAATGTGACCTAGAAGTAATCCTCGTACATTTCTGTAGAAATCTGGGGCAACTGATTCCGTCCAAAAGCACTGAATCTTGACATCAACGATGTAGGGCGGTGTCCAAATTGCAAAACAGGCATCCAGAGTAACGGCTAGGTCTATTTTCTGTGCATTGCCACCTTATTTCAAATGGAGTGAAGACCTAGACCTAGCTCTAGATAACAGATTTGGATGCAGCCTTGGGCGTGTTTTGGTAACCAGAGCCATGAACTTGTTTTCAGCTTTGGTCATTTGTAAATCATATTTTACGACTTGGTTATGCCTGTATGACGTAATTGTTCCGACTGAACCAGAATCGAATGTTGGAGATGGTTCAGCACCGGTTCAAAATGGTGGACAATAAACAGACGCCCCTCAAATGAGTGAATCCAACATTTCAAAATTTGGTGTTACAAGTTTTCGTATGCGAAAAGAAAGAAAGAGCAGCACTGGTGAAAAACATGCCAACTATCGAGTGAAAATGATGATGTTCATCAACAGTGTCATCTGCTTCCTTGCACCTGCCTCTGTCAGATGACGAAACCATTTCTGATTCTTTGTTTTTATGGGTCACCCTTAACACGTTCCTGGTTACTGTTTTGATGTCATAAACATGTTTCTCGTTACGGGTTGCCAAAACATGCCTCTGAGATCACAAGACTTTATTGCCTCGCTGTTTCTGTTGGTGCAAACCAAAACTGAAGATCGTGGAGTGACTATTGAAAGGTTTATTCACACCCCATGTAGGGTTGCGTGGTCCTCACACTGTAGCGCATCAAGATTATGATGCTTCTCCCGCTAGAGCTATCTACTAGCATTTTTACCTCAATTATTTTGAAACTGGCCCGAATATGTGCACTGCAGGGACTGCATAGAACTTCAGGTTAAACAGTAAAGCCACTGCGTTACGTCTTTTACCAAAGTTGAATGATTTTTCCACCCTCTGTTTCAGCCCAAAATCCAAGTCTCGACATCTGCAGTGTGGCAACACGGCCGCCTTGTGAGCAATCCGCACCTTGCCTCAATGCGTATCACAGCTACGACAGTGACATAGACTACTTCTGCAGGTGCCCTTTTGGTTTTGTTGGCCACAACTGCGAGACCACATGTAAGTTCTTACCGTGGTTATATCGACATTGTCTGGAATTTAAAATGCCGTATATATTTACAAAAGCTTCAATGGAATCAGTAGTTGTCAATGAACAGTGCTCACTGGTGAATGAACTCTTTTACTTGATAAGAAAAAAAAGTAGTCATCATAGCAAAAAGTTTGAAAACAAATTGAGTACCGCTCCCCCTTCTTGGAAATTTGTGAAACTTTGTCACTATGGGTTTTTGTCAGGATGAGATGACTTTAGCTCAAGCCTCCATACCGTGCAATTCCCCCCCCACAGGTTACCCTAAATGAGTGCCATTCTACTATGAGCCTGTGGTAAATCTAGGCAAGTTTGATCAAGGACCATATTTAACCACAGCTTGACTAACTCTGATCGAACGCAGGCTAGTCGATGATGGTTGAACCAGTCTAATCAACTATTCATGACCAGCCTATTGAGGTTGGTCACACCGTTGGTTGCCGTGAACCTTTTTTAATAGCACAGTGGAGAAAGGACAAGTCATAAGGAAAATGCCGGAAAAACAGTACATCACTGGTAAACGACCATTTTCACTTTGAATTTTGCTATTTTGCCCTCTCTGCGGCTACCTTTTCTCCCCTTCGGCCTAATGACCTGACAACGGTTGACTAAGGTCGTTCGTACTTCAACTTCACGGCACATGTAATAGGTACATCACAAATCAAGTGGTTCTTGCTTGAACTTAGCCTGTGGTGAATGAATAACAGCAACACCAGAAAGTACAAAGTCAAAGACCAAACTGTGGTCCTATCGGTTGCATATGTATTTGAAACTTGACAGTGTGAGTAATCTCGTTACAATGTCCAACAGATGTTGATCCGTGCTTGAGTGGGCCCTGCCAAAACGGTGGCACATGCACATCCTTCGGCACGTCCTTCACTTGCCAGTGTGCAAACGGCTACAGCGGAACGACTTGCGAGGTGCCCGTCGGTAAGACAGTTTCCACCAGTTGAACTCTCTGTCCACATCATCAGTCTGAGTCTTTTTATGGAAGGAAACTTTTCAAACTTCACATACTGATGAACCCACGGAAGGAAATCTTCCTCGAAATCCTACCATTTATTTGACACTGTTGTGGTATTTGCTTAGATTTGGACAAACATTAAACATTCGACAAAGTGTTCATGACAAGATTTCAGAGTCATAGTATTGTTCTTCAACTGTTGTGCATATGCACATCTAACTACTTTTGTCAAGCTTGTCTAGCGTTTACTTTAACACATGTAGAATTTGATTTTGGAGTAAATGGAATAAATGAATCGATTACTTGTTAAAGTTAACATGAATGTTTCGATTGTGGCATGATCCTTCTCAGGGTAAACAATGCATAGATGTGCCACAGTTAACACCCTAGGCACTCATCTTATCAAAGTTGTTTGAATATCTGGTCTCTGTCAGCAGTTTCCAGATGCATTTCATTACTTTAAAGGACAGCACTGGTTGTAATGAGAACAGTTGGAGTGAAATTAAGCACCATTCACCAGACCTTGACATTCATCAATTCTACTCCGTTGAACGAGTTTTGATGTAGTTCATATTGCACTATTAGAGTAGTTAGGGTCAAAATGAGATCATTGGTCTTTCCTTCAATTGGAGATGATGTCTGGTGCATTTTTGGGGAACAGTTTTTGATGTTTTGGTAGGTTAAGGCTTTATAGACAATGTGTAAAATTGGCAATGAGTTAGGTTTAAACGAATTCTCACTGTTTACTGTTTTGCCGCTTTCTCAGGTGACAACATTCCACCTGTCATCACCAGCTGTCCAGTGTCCTTCGAGCGTAACATCCCTGTGGGATCATCCACGTTTGTCTCCTGGACTGCTCCACAAGCCATTGATAACTCAGGCACAGTCTCTCTGGTCTATTCTACCCACCCGAATCCTAGTGCTGTCCTCGGTGTCGGCACCACAACGGTGACGTACGTGTTTGCAGATCCCAGCAGGAACTACGCCATTTGCTCATTCTTCATCACAGTCACAAGTAAGAAGAGACAGGAGATGGTGTGGTGTAATCCCACAGAAGTATAGGTTTTTTTGGATTTTGTCTGTGCGTCAGAAAGCTTTCCCCTTACTTGAGATTTAAGCCATCTTTGGTTGGTGGATCTGAACTGAGATTTTTATTTATTTATTTTTTTACAGGTGGAATTACCGACAACATTCCACCCACAGTCAGCAACTGCCCAATTCAGGGCTTCCAGGAAACGGTTCCCGCCGGCACCTCAAGCATCGCAGTGACATGGCCTGAGCCAACTGCCATCGACAACTCGGGGGTGCAGGTGACGAGGACGTCCAATATCAGCCCGGGGAATATATTTACCTTGGGTTCCACTACGGTGACGTACACATTCGTGGATGGTGCTGGCAATTCTGCCACCTGCAGCTTTGATGTCACGGTCACAGGTGCGATTTGTCCCTGCCTCTCTTTCTCAGCATTGACAACTGGCACTTATTTAGAAGTTGATTGTTAGAGAAATTAGGGCACCGATTGCCACAGTTTGCCATTTCCTAGGCCAGTTGTGAACTGAAAAATCAGAATTGAACAAACACTTTTTGATATCCTTGCGTTCTTGTTTTTTCCTCCATCTAAATAGATCCGATAGTTCTTACATTCAATATGCACTCAAATCCTGCTGTGTGTTTTTGAACACATAAGGATGCTTAAAAATCTTTTTGTCCGAAACATGCCAAACAGTAAAAGCAGCGAATGCCTAAAGAGTGCACAGCACTGTGAACATCAGCATGTGTTGGACTCGTACTGTTATTTCAGAACGGTGAGCGGGTCCTTTAGTGGCATAAAGAAACCTACAAAAGCTGGGCCTCGGAAATTCCAAAAAGGAAGAAGGGCTGCCTTGGTACCACATCACACCGGGGGGGACATTGGTCGTGATGCAGATTAGCTACATCTGATATGCATGACATTTTTGCACTCAGTTAGATTATGATCACATGGTGTATCCTCCCTGGTTAAAAAATGTGGGAGGATGAAGACTCCTGTTCCCTAGGGAAGTATTGTATATCCATTGCAGCCGTATCTGGATCATTAGTCTTTAATTTTGCTTCTTTCCGTTGCTAATGATACTTACAGTGGAAACAGGAGACACCACTCCCCCAGTGGTCAGTGGTTGTCCTATCGCAGGTGTGCCTGTAACAGCCCCTGCCGGTGCTACCTCAGCAGTTGCCAGTTGGGTAGAGCCGACGGCAGTTGACAATTCTGGAGGAACTGTGAGAGTCACGTCCAACCGCTCACCAGGCCAAAGCTTCCCGCTTGGAACGACACAAGTGACGTACACCTTCACCGATCCATCTCAGAACACTGCAACGTGCACCTTCGCTGTCACTGTGACAGGTGAGTGTGTCTTTTGAAAGAAATCCCTGTTCGTGGAATTTAGCAGAATGTCAATCATGTGAACACCATAGCGACGTCATTGTAGCATCAAGCTGGCCTGTTTGATGCTTGTTGACGGACGTTTCACACAGTCGCATGAAATGAGATATGAAATTCAGCGAAGTTGAATTTAAGGAAATGTGAGTTGCATCTTCAAGAAATTCCAATTCATGTAGCACAGTCTGCCATGGTGGCTTTCCACCTTTATAGTTTATTCAACACTTGGGTAAAATATTTACTAAAGTGCTTTTGTTTTGTGATATGAAAAACTGCTCAGAAGTACACAAATGAATCAGTGCATAAATTACATAATTGAAAAAAAAATAAAAAAATTGGCGAGAAAAGGTTTCTCCCACATTTCTTTTTTCAAGAAATTCTCCAAGGTTTTCCTTTATATTTCAAACTTGAACCACCCAAACAACTATCGACAGAGCACGTTGTATCCCTTTCATGACGAAATTGCTGTTCGACGGATTCTTTCAAGCCGTGACAAGTGTCATTTTCCCTTGCAACAGGAAGTGGTGTCGACACCATCCCCCCAGTGGTGAGTGGCTGTCCCACAGCAGGTGTGTCTGTAACGGTCCCTGCTAGTGCTACGTCAGCGGTTGTCACTTGGACAGCGCCAACAGCTACAGACAATTCAGGAGGAGTAGTCATTCGCACGTCCAACTTTTCTCCAGGCCAGAACTTCGCGGTTGGAGTCACCCAAGTAATCTACACCTTCACTGATCCATCTCAGAACAGCGCAACCTGCACCTTCACTGTTACTGTTACAAGTAAGTACAGCAATATTCATCTTTTACGGTGAAAAGGAAATGTTAGTAGCTTACCACTTTAGTAAGAGTTGGAGAAAATTGTTGTTAAATAAACAGTTGTTTGGTTATTCTTTGCCAGGGGGAGGAGTCACTGACACCACTCCCCCAGTGGTCAGCGGCTGTCCCACAGCAGGTGTGCCTGTAACAGCCCCTGCCGGTGCTACCTCAGCAGTTGCCAGTTGGGTAGAGCCGACGGCAGTTGACAATTCCGGAGGAACTGTGACAGTCACGTCCAACCGCTCACCAGGCCAAAGCTTCCCGCTTGGAACGACACAAGTGACGTACACCTTCACCGATCCATCTCAGAACACTGCAACGTGCACCTTCACTGTCACAGTGACAGGTGAGTGTGTTACCCAATGAGAGGTTAGCTGTTACACAATAAGGATATTGGGCACTTTGATGATTGTTGCCGATGCATACTAAGGTGAGGCCTGTATTAAGAATAACAAAACAATTAGATATTTACAAATATCTCAAATATATTTATCTTATCTGAATGTCATAATTTTAAAGATGAACAAAGAAATTGACAGGAGGGGGTTTTGAACCTATGATCTCCAGAATACCGTGCCGGTGTTCTACCAATGTTGGTGGCTCGTCCCATTTTTCAATTATCTTTGTTTGGGGTGCTAGTCAGACGCCATGAAGCCTGAAATACCAAGGTCACGCCCCAATTGCCCAATGCTAGCTGGGAAGTGGCGAACAAGGATCACTTGAGGAGGATGCAGCTTTTTGAGCACAAAGCATGAACTAAACTTTAATAGGGAAACTGACTAGGTGCTCACAAATAATTATATGGTTCGTAAGTGTGACGTCACTTCAGTTTAAACCATGTCCACTGCTCATACACTGCACAAAGAGCCTTACATGCATAGATCAATGTTTACATGGAGCCGTGGAAACAGAAGTCAATGTGCAACTTCAGCGATCGTCCAATGGGGGCCTGCAAATGCGCCTGCGCTTCCGCCTTTGTGACAAAGTCACTTACGAACCGCCTAAAGATGAACAAAGAAATTGACTGGAGCAGGATTTGAACCTGCAACATCCAGAATACAGTACCTGTGCTCTACCAACTGAGCAACCCAGCCCTATGTTAGTGGCTCTTCCCATTTGTCAATTATGTAGTTTTTCCTGTATAGTTTGTTTCATGATTTTATATTAATGTTTCCTTTTTTCGTTTCATTTTCGTTCAGTTTATTTCATTCTTATCACGGCCCAACAAGCCAAATTACAAAAATGTTACAGGTTCTGATTAAAATTCAAAATTACATCAAAAGTACATTAAAAAAATAGCAATCACAAACACGTTAATCACTAATAATTGAAACAAATAAACACTTAGACAAATAGAATAGCTCAAAAGTACTTCAGCAAGTTGAACTATGTAAGATTTCTCTATTTTCGTAATTATCGATTTTCGGAATTTCGTAAGCAACAAGAAGGCCAGTGTACATTCTGGAATTATGAATCTAATAGGTTAATGTAAAATGGAATAGGGCAATTCTTAAATCGGTTAGTCCAACAGGGTAGCAGTGAAATAAAACGAGAGTTACGCAACTCCCTGCCGTGAATGTTTTTCCTTACAGGAGGAATAAGGTTATCAGTTTGTTTACACTTAGACAAAGACTCAGCAAATTTACAACAGCATGCCTGCTGACGGTCAGCAAGGGTTTCAATGCCACACATCACCATAACATCCTGATATGAATTATAATTATGACAAAACATAATTTTACATGCTCTTTTTTGCCATTTTTCTAAAATATGAACTTGTTCTTTGGTAAGTGAAGAATTCCACACAACGTCAGCATATTCTATCATATTAATGTTATTACTTGAGCTTACTAATTTGTATTTATGTCAAATGAAAGCTACTCTTGTCTCCTGTGCATCATTGTACAGACCATAACATGCCCACCGTTTGTTACTTGATTTCAGTGTTCACGGGTCAAGATACTGAACCTCCTGTCATTAGCGGCTGTCCACC